GCACCGTTCTGGTGAATGGAGAAGCATGCTTTATTGAAAATTTCTGGTGCCAAATTTGCATCGCTCTGGTAAATAAATTGAACGGAAAAATTCTGGTGAAAACTTGCACTTGTTTGGTAAATGAAGGCTCAAGATTTATTTAAAATTAAGCTATATTGAAAAATTCTGGTGGAAATTCTGCACCGTTCTGGTGAACGGATGGGCAAGCTTTTTGGAAAAAATTTGGTCTTAAATTTGCATCCTTGTGCTGAATAGAGAAACAAAATTTAATAATAATCACCCATGTTCTTTTTTTCGTAAGTACCGTATTTTCCATACACAAAAAAACTTTGTTTTGTATGGAAAATACGGTTCGAACGAAAACAAGGATTCGGAAGAATTTCTGGTGTAAATTTTGCACCATTCTGATCTTTGGAGGGAAGCTGCTTTAATGAAATTTTATGATGAAAAATCTAAAAATAGGGGCAAGCTTTATTTGGTGGAAAACCTGCAACATTCTGATGATAGGAAAAGCAAGCTATATTGAAAATGTCTGATGGAAAAAATGGAAAACGGAAATCTGCACCAATCAAAAGATTGGAGAAGCAATTTTTATTGAACATTAACGGTGGTAAATTTGCCTCGTTCTGATCAATTGAAATTTTCTGGTGGCAAGTTTGCATTGAAAATTTCTGATGTAAGATACGCAACAATCTGCTGCATGGAGAGGCCTGATGTAAAAATTGCACAGTTCTGGTGAATGGAGGGGTAAGCTTTATTGAACATTTATGGTAGAAAAACTACAACGATTTGGTGAATGGGCGGACAACTTAAACTTGATTTCCGAAAAGAACCTCAAGGGTATTGAATTCTGAGAACAGTTCTAAAAGAAAAGATTTCTGGGGATGATTCCATGAAAATTCTGCGAACCACGATTCACCCTGCAGGTAGTTCCAAGATTTTCGAAAAAGAATACCGAGAGAATCAAATTTTGAATGAAATTCCAAAGGGATGTTGAGAAAAATTTCAATGGAGCTCCGAGGATAATTTCAAGCTCATTCTGAAGAGACTTTCTGGAGAATGCAGAGGAAATTTTTCTGAAACTTTAGAGGAATTTCAGTTCCAAGGTGTTCTGAGAAAAAAAAAAGTTCTAAAATATTCCGAGATGAATCTCAAGGACATTGAATTCTTATGAAAGTTCCAAAATATTTCTGGGGAGAATTCAAAGAAAATTTTGCAGATAATTTTTAATGCATTTTGCAGATAGTTTCAAGACAATTTCGAAAAGAATACCGAGAAAATCCAATTTTGAGTGTAATTTCTAAGGGATTTAAAGCAAAATGTCAAGCTAATTCCGAGGATAATTTCTAGCTCATTCAATTACAATGTGTTCTGAGAAAAAATCATGAAGCGTTCTAAATTAAATTCCAGTGGGCTTCTGAGAAGAATTTCAAAAGAACTCTTAGGAGAGTTCTAAAAAAATCCGAGAAGAACCTCAAGGATATTGAATTCTGAGGACAGTTCCAAAGGATTTTTGGGAAGTATTCCAAGCAAATTCTGCGTGTAATTTCTAGTGAATCCTGCAGATAGTTCCTAGATAATTCCGAAAAGAATACCGAGAAAATTAAATTTAGAGTTAAATTCCAAAGGGATTTTGAGGAAAATTTCAAGGGAGTACCGATAATTTCTAGCTCTTCCAGGAATTTCAGTTCCAAGGTGTTCTGAGTAAAAGTCTCAAACAGTACTAAAAATAATTCCAGAGGACTTCTGAAAAGAATTTCAAATGAGCTCATAGAGTTATAAAAATTTCGAAAAGAACCTCAAGGAATTCTGAGGATGGACTTTTTCGCAACTGTTCAAAGCTTAAAGACAGCATTTGGATTCCCTAATTGAAAAGTGGGTATTAGTTTGCCATTGAACCTTGGTCTATTGTTGTCTTACTCGTCTAAGAATCTTCTCTGAAAATGTCAAGTCATTTGTTACCGTTGTTAAAAAGTTACAGCGGTTTATGTGCGTTGCAATAAATTCGGGTTTGTCTTTTATATCATCTTTAAAACATGTTGAATGTTCGGCATCATTTTCTGTCACCCCGACTGACGGTACTTAGGGACGGTTCATCATCGTCGATGCGATTAAATTGCCAATTTCCGCAGTTTGCATTGAAGAAGATGAACCACCACCGGAGCAAAATATAAATAAAATTAGCTAAATTAAACAGTAGGAAAATAGTGGTCGGTGGACAGCACCATCTCCCACGCACTTTGGAGTACTTCCCATCCCCAGATTAAATGCACCATAGAAAAAAAAATCCCCTCCTTAAAAAGATTCCTGTGCACGCCAGTGGTAAAAAAATCATTGGTGTTGATTCAAATGATAAGATTTACCTACTCTTTGCATGTCTTGAGCAAACTATGATCCTAATCTATCAATTACTTTAAAGAAAACTAAATTTCAACAACTGAGTGAAAAGTTATTAACAAATGAGCAGTTGCTGTGTACAACTGTGCACACAGCAAAAAATTAATTTGTAATATTACTTGCCAAACATGACAAAATTATCATTAATAAAGTGCATGAACTGACATTACGCTGCTTCCACTGCATATATTTATTGTTGTGGCATTAATAATTACATGAAATTTTCAACATGATTGAAGTGCATCCTCTTGGGTGTAATATTAAAATTTATTTTTTGCTGTGTGCATACCAAGCATGCTTGCAAACTTTGGCGAAAAGAAGCCGACCCAGAGGCGTAACAAAAGGGATTGTTACAAAACGGACGCTCAGGTTAGCCAAAAGAGTGTCCAAAATATGATGAGTGGTATTCGAAGAAAAGTTCGAGATTTCATCAAAAGCAAATCGGAATAATTCGTTTCTTTATTTTTTTTTTTATTTTTTTTTAGTGCAATAAATGACTTTCATTTTGAGTACCTAACATTTTTATTTCATTAAAATGGTTCCGAGATACATCTGTTTTTTTTTTTTGCGTCCAGATATTAAATTAATCAAGCTTTAGAGTGGCCGTTTTACCCCGTCGTCCTGTGCGAGAAAATGCCAATCAGGCCTTGTTGTCCTCTGCTGTCCGAAAAAGTCGTCCGCAAGTCGCCTTCTACTTGGTCGATCCACCTTGCCCGCTGCGCGCCTCTTCTTCTTGTTCCTGTTGGGTCGCTTTCTAGAACCATTTCCACTGGGTCGTCGTGTGGCATTCTTACGACGTGCCCAGCCCACCGTAGTCGCCCAATTTTTGCAATGTGGACGATGGATAGTTCTCCCAGCAGCTGGTGCAATTCGTGGTTCATTCGCATCTTCCACGTTCCATCATCCATCTGCACTCCACCATAGATGGTAAGCAACACCTTCCGTTCGAAAACACCAAGGGCGCTTTGGTCCTCCACGAACATAGTCCAGGTATCGTGGCCGAAGAGAACCACCGGTCTAATCAGCGTCTTGTAGACAGTCAACTTCGTGCGGCGACGAATTTTATTCGACCGGAGCGTCCGCCGGAGTCCAAAGTAGGCACGATTCCCTGCCATAATGCGTCTTTGAATTTCTCTGCTGGTATCATTTATGGCGGTCACCAGTGAGCCCAAATACACGAACTCATAGACCACCTCGATTTCATCACCGTCAATCTGAACTCATGGTGGGAGGCTAACATGTCTTTGATGCGTTGATGGCAAGTCCAATCCGCCTAGCTTCAGGCTTCGATCTGATGTACGTTTCCGCCATCGTCTCAAAGTCCCATGCCATGATGCCGATGTCATCGGCGAGGCCAAGAAGCTGGATGGACTTCCTGAAGATCGTGCCACTCGTGTTTATCCCAGCTCTTCTGATCACACCTTCTAACGCGATGTTCAATAGCAGACACGAAAGTCCATCACCTTGCCATAACCTCCTTCGAGATTCAAAGGGACTCGAGAGTGTCCCCGATACTCGAACAACGCACATCACTCGATTCATCGTCGCCTTGACCAATCGCGTTAGTTCATCCGGAAATCCGTACTCGTACATAATCTGCCATCGCTGATCTCGATCGATTGTGCCGTAGGCAGATTTGAAATCGATGAACAAATTATGTGTGGGCACGTTGTATTCGCGGCATTTCTGCAGAACCTGCCGAATCGCGAAAATTTGGTCCGTGGTAGCGCGGGCAAACATGATGGTATTGGTTTTGTATCATTATATTATTATATCGATTAGATGTCCCTTAAACTTTTAAAATGGTCCTTTACTGTGGAGATACTCAGATTTACTGTCCGGCCCATTTTTTTTTCATTTAAAGGATTGGAGTGGTGTTTTCTAGATAGATGCTCCTCTGACTAAAAAAAAACGCGGCAAGTCAGTAAATATGAGCATCTACCCAGTAAAGGAGCATTTTTGAAACATTGATGAAGCATTAAATCGTGTTGATGATACGGTCACCTAGCTGCCGTCTTTATACTCAGTTTCGCTAAATCATCGATTACTCATAGACTGAGTATAATTCACCTTAATTCAGAATAAATTTCACCGCTATTCGAGCTCATTTTGCTCTCCATGGCCCATGGGTATAAATATGAAAACTTGTGATTTATGATAAACCACATAGGGGAAATGTCTCTAATGTTGGCCTATGGATCTAAGATTGGGCCCATCGCTAAAAATCTGCTATTTATCAATTTTATCTAGATGAACGCGTTACTGGGACGTTACTAATGGATATTTTTGGTTGCTTTTGAAAATTTAGTCGATTGCTGAATTTATGTATGGGCCCAAATTAGGGACACTTAGGCCGACATTACCTGCATTTCCCCTACATAGTGTAACATTTTACCTTTTTTCAAAGATCTTGTAGGTAACATTGCTAGTTCAATGTCTGAACTGGCAATGCTACTTGATAGATCCCCGAAAATATATTGAAAACGCATTCAAAATTTGCAAAAACTAATCTTGCCTCGGAGGTGCATCTTACACCATCTTACCTACATATTATTGCAATTGCTGCTAATGTTCAATCCACTCATTCAATTATCTCTTTCCAGCATGGGCAGTGTAATTCTGGTAGTTTACGGAGCACAGCGTATCTGGGAGCGTATTCCCAACATGCGAAAACCAATCATGGTGTGTGGTATGCTGCTCATAGCCTCCGGCTGCCTAAAAACTCTCTCCCGAAACCTGGACTGGGGCTCCCGTGAAGCCTTACTAAGGTACCATATCCCATACAAAAAAAGCATCCGCTTCAAGTGAACCCGGTTTAATCTTTTCAATCATTTTTCGATTTTCTTTTTCCACTCCCAGATCCGGTCTACGTACCCTGCCCCACAACGCCAAGATGCATTACAATTTCGGCAACTTTTTGCGAGACTCGTCCCAAGCCGAACAAGCTATCGCACACTACCGTGAAGCCCTGCGACTGTGGCCGACGTACGCCAGTGCCCACAACAACATCGGCACCTTGATGGGGGAGTTCGGAACGGCCGAGCACCACTTCATGGAAGCGATCAAATATTCGTCCGAACACATTAACGCCCACTACAATCTCGGCCAGCTGTATCGGTAAGTCCCAGCATGGTCCATCCGAGCCGAAAGTCGGTCGTGCGTAAATCAGGCAACGAGCTGAAAAGAAATACAGTGTATATGTCTTCGTATGGGAGAAGGAAACCAAAGCAATCGGACGATAAATCCCAGCTTATGCATCCCGTTCGTACGTCTGACCTCCTCGGTGAACCTCCTATGCTCAAGGTTCCAAAATCCCACGGTTCTAATTTTTGAGCATTTTAGCCTTCCTGGAAGCGAAATTTCATTTTAACCCTCCTATGTTCGTCTTTTGATACCTTCTTTCGAGCAAGTTTTTCACTTCTCATGTTCTCACATGTGGAAGAATTTTTAATCTGGGATTTGGGATTACTTCCTGCTAAATGTTTGCTCCATCGGGAAACGGCATTTCTCTTCCTAGAATGTTTTGCCTCCGAAAAATGCTTAAACTTTTACCGACTTTCATTGCTCCGATATCGCAACACCATCATCGGCTTGTCCCTGGAGAAATGGGAAGGGGGAAGGATCCAGGGAAATCGCATCGATTGAATGTGGAATGAGCTTTTGAGTGGTGCTTGAAGGCGGATCGAACACAGTATGGCAACTAGGGTGGGACAAAGTTTGTCCCCTGCTCTCCAATGCTATTTCGATTTGTATTAAGGTGTGCCTAATTTGAGACGAATTTAGTAACGATCTGGATTTGTGGGAAAATTTTAAGGATTGTATTGTACAAAACTGTTCATTAGCTTGTCAAAAAATCAAAATCTGCTCAATTTTTATCAAACCTGAGACTTATATTGAGAATAATATGCAGAATAACTTTGACAAAGCTCGTAAATCAATTCGACTTCAGTGTAAAAAGTTATTATTTTTATACTTTAAGTCTAGTGCTTTGCGCTTACCTAAAGGCATTTGAGCATTGGAGGGTGTGAAAAGTGAAAGATATTGATTATTTTTTTTCAAAGATTAATTCAATTTGCAGCCTTTGGTGAAGTTTTTTTCGTAAAGTAATTTGAATCTAAGTTTGAGATTTTTCCACATATACCTAAAATTTCTATCACCAATCCTGATCTAGACCAAATTCGTTCAAATTTGGCAGTTTTTGGGGACAGCAATACAGAACGAAAGAGCAGTAGGAAGCAAGATGTTGTTAAGTTGACCCACCCTAATGGCCACGAATGAAAAGTGGCAAATCATTCTTTTGTGATCCTTTTTCCCGTTTCCTTTTGATGCGGGAAAATTGGGAAGCATCAAGGTTCAAAAAAGGGTAAGAAGTTGCAACAATATGACTTTTCACTGACAAGGGCAAACCCAATCGGAGGGGTTGAAATCATCGATGGATCAATCTAGTCGAGTCATTTCACGTCAGCTTTGTGATATGGTAGAATGTGGTATTTTGCCGTCTTGGGATGGTAGGTTTTTGGCTTCGAAAAATCAAATCCCAGTGGATTGTATCCAATTGAATTGAACAAGGTGCTTGGAACAGCAAGTTAAAGTATTGAAAGTTTAAAACAATGTTCTGAGCAAAATTCTTCAATTGAACTAGTTGTACAAGTTTTTATTTAATTGAATCGAAACACGATTGAAAACACTCACGTTAAATAAAAGTCAAATGACAAAAAGTTCGAATAATCACTAATGATGTATTTCAACCCTATTTAAAAAGTGATAGAACAGCTAAGTCACTCTGAGTAAACGCTCACGAATCATAAAATTGCTTATTGTGACACTCTGAAAGCGAAATTTGCAGGTATAATGTGTCAAACACATACTTTACAACATCTTCTTTTAACTTACAAGTACAAATCATCATAAAGTATGTTGCAGTTAGTATTTGGCCGCATATTTTTAATTACTGTAGCGCCTCTAGTTGTCGTAGCAAGAAACTATTGACAGCGTTTTGATCCGGAAGGATTGTTTATTGAGTAGTGAAAATTTCATATACTTGTTCTAAAGTTATCGAAGATGGAACGTGACAGACCTAAAAAAAAATCTGCACACTCACGTGCAAAATCCAACGTGGTCAGAAGTATAGATACTATAGTTTCCATAGATAAGCGGAGGCTAAGTATAATGTAGCCAAACGAACTGTCAGTTAGTGTAGCCAAACGAGCATGACGTCATCATGGTGTTGTTTGAGGTAGAAGTATTGTAATATTATGACCACAAAACGCTTTCTACACTCCACATTCCGATTTATTTCGCGGACAACGGAAGAAGGAAAGATAAAGCAAACCATTCCTCGATTCATTGTTGCAAAGATTTGCTTTGCACTTCATTTTGAACTTTTACGCACGAAACAAAACAAAACAAAACTGCACAACGAAGAGCTTTATGATGGCATGAACTTTTTTCACGAATGCCAGTAAGATCATTTGTTTTTCAAGGTTGCCAAAACAACTTTTTGTGCCTCCACTTATCTATGGAATCTATAGTATCTATAGTCAGAAGGAATGATTGCAAAGATTCTCAAATTTCCAAAAACGACTGTAATTACCGTGCTTAAACGTTACCGGGAAACACTAACGTTGGATCGTGCAAAACAAAACAAACGTAGAAGTGGAACATATGACCGAAATCTACGAGCGAAGGTCATAAGGGCAGTCCAAAAGAATCCTGGGATCTCCGGTCGTGATTTGGCGAAAAGGTTCAGTGCTGCAGTTCGGCGAATCTGTATGCGAGAAGGTTTCCGGTCGTACCATGCCAGCAAACATCCCAATCATTGCCGAAGCATTCGACAGGTTCTAAAACATTCGGGAAAGCTCAGAGGAGTTTAGGGAAGTTATGAGATTTTCAATAAATATCCATAAAACGAGAGAGAAATTCAGGAAAGAAGATCGTTTCGGCAGTTATAATAACTTCAGGGAGGCTCTAAATGAGTTTGGAAAATTTGCGTCCAGGCTTGTTTAAAAATCTTGAAGAATTAATTTTGAGTAATTTAGGACAACAGCGTTCATTCAAGGTAATTCAATAAAATGGCGAAAGCTTCTTTGAACTGCATCAATTATTTGCTTATACATTTCAGAAAATTGATCTTTAAAAAGCCCCGAAAATATCAAGCAAGTTCAAAGAACTCCATAAAAGTTATTAAACTTCAGAAAAAATTCGGGAACTTCACAGAAGTCCAAAGAACTTCAAAGATGCTTCGAAAATTTCAGAAAAATAGCGGGAACGTTAGAGAAGATTCATGAGAACCAGGAAAATCGGGGCCTTCCTTAGCTCAGTCGGTGAAGGCACAGCTACAAAGCAAGACCATGCTGGAGGTGGCAGGGCTCGATTCTCGGTCCGGTCTTGGAATTTTTCGGGTTGTAACGTTTCTCGACTTCCATGGGGAAAGATTATGATTGTACTTGCCACAGAATTATACTAATGGAAAAAATGGTAAAGGCATCGAAAGCTCTCAATTCAAAACTGTAGTAGTGCATCTAGCTATAAGCTTTAAATGCGATAAGCAATAAGCTTGAAATAAAAAGAAGAATGAAGGAAAATCGCGGTGACTTAAGAAAGAATGCTAGTAAACGTTGGGAACTTCAGCACATAACATATGTGGAACTACATGCAAAATAGATGACTAAAAGTTGACCCCTTTTTTGTGTTGCCTCAGTGGAATAATTGGCATAGTTGTTCATCGATCTGTCAAAACAAAATTTTCGTGATATCGACACTCAGCGTTCATAAGGACCAATGTCGAAAACCGTAAACCATGGCTTCTTTCGTAAATTTCTCGTAGTTCAAAGTCAATCAATGTAAGCCACCAATTCTATCGGATAGGAGGACTCAAGCTCTACACAATCATCGTGGTGGTTTACTTGAGTGAGTTTTCATTCTCGAGAAATTCTCCGAGAAAGTAATTGTTTACGTTTGCAACATTGGCCTTTGTGAAAGAATAGCAGATATCAAGTTGCATGCATCTGTGCATGAAATCTAGTGGACTTTGTCTTATCTCTTCATTCCACCACGGTACGAGCAAGCCGCCGTCTTTTTACGGAAAGATTGACAGTATCTTATGGGATTTTCATAGGAGTGAAAGGGTAAAGAAATGTTCACCATGTTTCACGGCCAGACTGATGTTTGCTTATGGGATTTTACGGAGTAAAGAGTTACAGAGTGAACGAAAAGGCGAATTGTCAATTGTCAAGATAATGCGCAATGAGTGTAAAGAGTTGAGGCCCAGAGAATGTATCGTCTCTTTTGTCATCCGCTGTTTAAATGGTTGACAGAGTTTGCTGTTTACAGCTCATTTGATAATGCGGCCATTCTTTTTTCCACTAGCGACAGGGGCTTTTCAAAGGATATTTTCACTAGTATTTTCTAGTCGATCAGAAGTCAATCAAGAGCGTTGTTAAACAGTAATTAAGCTTTTTACAGATGCATTATTTCTACGTATCTTCAACCTGGTTGAATTGTATTGGATTGATTACGGATATTACAGGGTGCGTGACGAATTTTTGCAGTCAATTTCAAATAGTAATTTCTCATGCTTGTGCATCATGATTAAGATATATTTGGCAGAACTGGATAGCTTATACTGTAAGATTTAAACAAACAATGTTGAGTAAACGTAAAGATGTCGAAACAAGAGAGCAATCTGTCAGCCGTTGTCGCTTTGTTGCGCGCCGGAGTATGCATGAAAGAAATAATTCGGTCGGTAAATGTGTCTGAAAGAACAGTGTATAATATTAAAAAAGGCTTGGGAAAGTGATAAGACGGAGCACCTGCTCATACTGCTAATAAAGCACAGAAATGGCTTACGGAAAATATTTCGTAAATTTGGGAGGAAGAAATTTGGCCCCCAAGCAGTCCCGATATCAATCCGTTGGATTATTTTGTATAGGGCGTCGTCCAACGGGATACCAATAGAACCCCTCACACCACACTTAAGTCGCTAAAAGCTAAAATCAAGGCAGTGATGACATCTATGGATCGAAACATTTTGAAACGTGCATACTGCAGTTTCCGGAAGCGTCTAACTACAGTCGTCGAAAGGGAAGGCAATTTTTTGGAATAAATTTACTTACAAC